TCGAGCTCATGCAAGCTGATGAAATATGATTTATATTAAGATTTTAAGAATCTTCATCTGTCCTTCGTGCTATTCGTGTTAAATTATTAATTTCATTGCGTGTATCTTTACGCATCTCTTTTTGCAGTAAGGCGTTCTGTAAGAGATTATTTAGAAAAATACCATTAATTATCTTTTTTTTAACGTTTCGAATATTTGCCTTCCGATATGTCATGTGAACACAGAGTCCTTTTTGGCATATCCTGCAACCCGATGTTTCACAATGCTATTTTGGGCCAGATTCGATCTGAGTGCGAAGGTGCGTATAGATTAGAGTGAACAATTTCGATTGCTCCTTGCTGCATGATTAGTCTCATGCATCGCGGTGCTGAGTATAAGCAATGTTTGGTTAAAACAACAAGCATTTTGATTGACGCTCGGCATTTCTTTAAAAAAATAGACCGAACGGGATTATCCTAGAACTTTCGTGACATTTTGAAAATTTCGTTGCTTTTTTGCTCAGTTGTGTCGTCATTATATACATATATATTGTGAAACGTATTTAGTGAACAATATTTCACGATATCCATGGCCACGATGTGCCCATTTCATAATTTCTTGCAGTAATTAATTCCTTCAAGGACACAATCACGATTTAACTTTTAATACTGCGACACAAAGTTGTACCAAACACGGGTATTTTTGGTGACCGACCACACTTGGCGTCAACATTTTATACTGTGTGAATAAATCAGCTTGAATTACAGAATTTTACTTAAACATGAAGATAGGACAGGAAAAGACGCTATAGTTCTAAATTTCAAGCTGATCAATTCACAGGTATGTACCAACAAGCTCAACTCTTTACTGTTGTACTTAAACATTTGGATTCAGGTAAATATATGTTACTGGTAAACAAAGGTATGTTATGTCGTATGAACACGCCGCAACAAAGTACGTTGGGAAATTCAAAAAAATGAATTTCATATTTTTGGTACTTGAAAACAAAAGTTAATTGCACAGATGAGAGGAGAAACTATATAGTTAATTGTTTCACGGCGTAAATAGTGTATAGTGTCAGAACAACGCGGAAAATATATTCTCAATTTAGCGGTTCAAACCGGTTCCAACCGGTTGGAACCGGTTTGAACCATTATTTTTTGCACCCCGGAACTGAACCGGAACCGAACCGAAAGCCGTGAACCCGAACCGGAACCGAACCGATAAAAATTTCGGTTCGACACTCTGGGTAGAAGACTAAGCGCCTTCTTTCTTTCGTCGGTGAAGTGACCGCACTCCCACACGAGGTGGTGCAGGTTTGCACTTAGGGTTTCTTTGCAGTAGGGACAGATCTCAGGCTGTTCCAGTGAATGTTGGCGTTGCATCTGCTGCGGCTGTGGCGGGGAGGCCGGCGGACTGGCTGTCGACACTGACGGTCTGTTTCTGCCGATCTTGCCAGCACTCAGTTCCCACTTGCGTCGGTCGTGAGGGGTCACGGCACTGCCGGTCCTGATCCTGCGCAGAAGGACCATTTTCTTCCTGGAGTAGCGGCCGAGCGGGATAGGGTTGGGTTCGCGCGGGAGGGAGGCCAGGAGCCTCTTCTTTAAGTCTTGTCTGACCTTCCTCATTGCGTCTTCAGGGTCGTAGGGGGTCCGGTCTCTTGTCTCGTATTGTTTCCTGGGGCCGGTCCTGCCAGAGTAGGCTAAAGTGCCGGGCAGGGAGTCCACACTTCGTGGTCGCGAAAGGAGAAACGTTGCTAGCGCTTCCGCGGACCGGTGAGCGGCCTCGTTGCCTGGCACTCCGGCATGGCCGGGGACCCAGTGTACGGCGGTTTTAACGTTCTTGCTCTCGAGACGCCTGGCGAGTGCAAGAATGCGCCGGGTGGTCGGGCTGTTGGGGTCGTGCTTTCGGCATCTTTGTATGGCTTCCTGGGCGTCGGTGTAAATGTCCACCGTCTTCACGGGTGGGTTCAGGCTTTGGGTAACGCGTTCCAGGGCGTGAAGGATCGCCTGGGCTTCGGCTTCCTCGGGCGTTCCAGCGGTCTTAGTTTCGCGGCTCCATGACTTGTTTTGGCGGAGATCGTGCCAGGCCGTGGTGGTGACTAGATCCTTATTTGCTGCATCTGTGTACAGCACGATGGTGGTGGGGTCTTCCAGTTTCGTGGTTACGACGGTCAGGTGCTTTTGGGCGTAGTCCCGGCGCCGTTCCGGTTGGTCCAGGCCCATATTCCGCGGTACAGGTGTGCTGGAGGCCACGTCTGCTATTTCCTACGGGGGGATTGGGCGGCCGAGTTTAGGAAGCGTGGACACGTCTTGTCGCAGCAGTCGTTGTATGGCCCTGCCCTGTCTAGTGCGTTGCAGTGAGACGAGGTGCAGTTCGTGCTGGTCCTTGGCTAAGTCCTGTAGTTTGGGGAGGGGAACGCACCTGTGCAGCTCCTCCAGTTTGGTGTGTCTCGGTAAGCCCGCAATAGTTTTTCGGGCGTCATTCTGCCATCTTCCAATTGCTCGCCAGTGACTCTTATTCAACTTGTAGTAGTTTGCGCCGTAAAGCACCTTGGAAGCTAGCACGGCCCGTATCAGGGTCTTGGCCACCTCCTCGCTCGCATCACCGGTCTTTTGGGCGATGCGGCGGACCAGTGCTGTGCCCTGTTTCCAAATCTTGGCCATCCTGGTTAGCCATTCTTTGGGGGACTTTCGTTGGTTGAAGAACACTCCCAGGATCTTGTGTGTCTCAGCTTGGGCGATGGGGAGACCACCGAAGGTCAAGTCGTGAGTTGGGTGGCCTTTGCGGGCCAATATCATGTATCTGGTTTTGTCTGGTGACGGGGAGAGTCCGGTCTCTTCGAGGAATGCTTCAATGATGTCCAGTCCTTTCTGAAGGGTCTGCTCCCTCCTCGCCGGGTTCCCACTTGTCGTCCAGATGGTGATATCGTCTGCGTATATGGTGAACTTCAAGGTGGAAATCTTGTTCAAGCGCCACGCCAGCGGGGCCATTGTCAGGTTAAACAGGATTGGGGAGATCACCGCGCCCTGGGACACACCAATATCGTTGTTCCTTAGAGGTCCGCATATGTCACCAGTCTTGATGGAGTACTTCCTTTGTTTTAGAAACCCCTTCACAAAGTTGAGGGGCTTGTGGGTGATGCCACCTTCTCGGAGTGCCTTTACGATCGCTTCGTGGGGTAGCAAGTCGAATGCCTTACAGATGTCGACCGCGACTAGCGAGCAGGTGCCTCCCTTGCGGTAGACGTCTGTAGACAGAAGTAGGAGGCTGTCTTTCGTACCCAAATGTTGTCGGAAGCCCGTTTGTGCCGCGTGGAAGAGCTTGCGGTCCTCGGCGATCCAGGTGATGCGGGCTAGGACGATCCTCTCAAACAGCTGGCACATTACCGAGGTCAGGGATATAGGCCGGGTATTCTTCGGTGTGTTCGGGGGTTTACCCGCTTTCGGGATTGGGGTGACCCATGACTCGTGCCATTCGTCCGGGAAGGTGTCGGTTTCCCACATGTGGTTGAACCAGCGAAGGACTTGCTGCTTTCCTTCTTCGGGTAGGTTTCGCAGCATGCTCGCGGTGATGCCGTCTGGGCCGGGAGCAGACTTTATTCTCCCTTGGTCAATAGCGGTCTCGAGCTCCCATCGGGTGATCGGGGTGTTCCACGGAGGGGGGCCTTTCGGTGCTTGTTCTAGAGCGTAGATTGCTGCATTCGGGGTCGTCGAGGGTTGGGGAAGAAGGCTTTTCCCATTTCTTCAAGTACGTCCTCGAGGGGCTTGTCCAGGGCTAGGGCCATGTTTTCTATCGTGTTGCGGACCTTGGTGATACCGAGCATGCCTCGGAAGGTGCGCCATAGCTTGCGTATCGACGTACGCTGGTCAAAGGAAGCGCAATGGTCGAGCCACTCGTTGACTCTGAGCTTTCGTGCATATTCTTCTGCTTCGGCGGTGATTCTGTTCACTTCCTTCAGTGTGTTCCGGTCTTTGGTTTTCCTGCACCCCGTGAGTTTGCGCGAGCGGTGGTCCCACAGGGATAGGAGGTGGGTGTCCGGTGTGGGGCAGTCCTAGTTCACCTCCTTCTTGGTCGAGGCTTCCCTCGTGGAGGCTACTAGCAAGGCGCAGATTTTTGTCGACATGTCGTTTTCGTCAATTTGGGCGCGTAAAAGGGCTCTGAATTTGTCCCAGAGGACTGTGACCACAGTTTTCTTGGCCTTGGCCCTGTTCTTGATACGGATTGATATTTCTATGGGGTAGAGGTCGCTGCCCCACGCGTCGGGGAACACCGACCACTCTATCCCCTCGATTCTTGAGTCCACTAAGGTTAGGTCGGGGTTGGTGTCCTGCTGGTTGGCCGAGGTGCCTACTCTCGTCTTTTCATGCGTGTCGTTCGCCAGCTCGAGACCCGCCTTCTCGTAAGCTTCCAGTAATCTGGCTCCTCTCTGGTCATCGTCGTCATAGCTCCACTCCCGGTGGTGCGCATTAAAATCGCCACCTATGACCATCCTATCGTCTGGGTAGACCGTTCGTAACTCTTCTATCCAACTGAAGTTGGGGTCTTCGGCGGTAGGGCGGACGTACGCCGACACGAGGATGGGCTTATGGTTGTCTATGAGTGTGCGCACCGCAGTGACTTCCTGGTCTGGTGTGCACCATTTCTGCGTATCAATATGGGCATGTGGTACGGTCCCCTTGAGGTAGACGGTGGCCAGTCCTCGTGCTTCAGGGGGGCCGGTCTTTGTATATTTCCGTTCGATCGCAGGGTTGTGGAAGTAGTTGTATGCGGAGAGTCTGGGATCCTTCACGTTGGTTTCTTGCATCAAGATCGCGTCGTACGAGTGTCGGTGTTGCGCCAGTCGAAGCTGGAATTCGCTTTTGCGTTTGGTTAGGCTTCTGCAGTTCCATTGTAGGATCCGAAGTTGTGTCGGTACCAGGGGTGAGGCTAGTGACGGTGTGAATTGCCCGGGGTCTTGAGCTTGCTGGTTATGAGGATTGCTGGTGTGACTGCTGCGTGGATCCCCCTTGTTCCGCGGCTTATTGTCCAGAAACATTAACGGTGAGGATGGGCTGACGTAGTTGGAACTGCGGCGGTGCCGGCGGGGTGGGGGCAAGGGTTGAGTGTTGGAGCTCGGCTATGAGTTGATTGAAGTGGGCCTGCATTTGCTGCTGCATTTGCTGCTGGAGTTGTACAGAGCGCGACACTGTTAGCGCGAACAAGCGATCGCCGGTTTTTCCAGTTTTTCTCTTCGAAACCAAGGGATGTAATCCAAGTTATTATTGCTAAGGAAAGAGCTCATTTAGCTCTATAATGTAAGCAATAAAATTTCGTGCTCGCTAATACTATTTAGATGTAAAATGCGAAAATGCGCCAATGTCGTGTTCGCGCTAACAGTGTCGCAATGTGTACTTGCATTTGTTGCAGCCAGACTTGCATTTGGGACTTGAGGTCATCCTGAGATGGTGGAGGCTGGGATTGCTGCTGTTGTGGTTGCTGGTTGCTTGCTGGAGGGGGTGCGGGGTGGTTTGCCCGTGATTGCGGCGTGTCTCGCAGAGGTGGTTGCGGGCTTGGGTGAGCTTGCGGCTGGCTCGACACTTGATGCTGGGGGCCCGGCTGGAAATTGACTTCCAGTTCTTCTATCTTTTTTTGTAGGGTAGCCATTTTTCGTCGGCGGTCGGCAGCTATGCGTGCGTGCTCTGCTTCCTCCTCCTTATACCGCTTTAAGAGGGCTGTAGTTGGTGGGTTCGAAACGTTTCCAAAGAAGGTGTCGCGATAGGATACGGGGCGGCGCTGCTTGTTTTCTCGATCGAAACATCGCGTGCGTCGACAACAACGTTCGCTATACGTCTATTTGCTACTTCTCTCCTTCCTTAATGCCATGACGATAAGTTGATTTGGTGAAATCCAGCTTGTAAGATGCTAATTATTTAAAAAAGAAATATATATATATATATATATATATATATATATATATATATATATATATATATATATATATATATATAAGAGAAATTGTAGACCAAAAAGGAGAAAAAGATTGACTGGCCTTCAGCCCAATCGGCAACCATTGAATAAACAGTTTTCATGCAATGAGAACCGCTACGCATAATTTAACTGCCATGTGGAAACCTTTCAATATTCATTATGGCGAGTCAAGTAAACCGTGTAAAATGTTTGCTAATGCAGCTATCTCGTCTAAAGATAAGGCACTCAGCTGATTTTTGTTTTTACAAAAGTAAACAGTTTTATGTGAATTTCGCAGTTAAACGAAAGCCGCTAATCCTTTTAAAAACAAAAATCAAACGCCTCATGCACCGGGCAAGCCGGTGCGTCCGTGCTATGTGAAGTTAATAATAGTATTAATTTGCAGCAATGTAACTTTGGTCCGCGTTCTGAACTGTGAAAAAAGAAATAAACAATTAGATTTTGGAGAAAACCGTTTTTGCAACTCAGTACGCTCAAGCCGCAGCTCGATATTTTTGGATCAAACACGAATTTATCTCCTTTCTCCTTTTCTTGCGAACGTCATTTTGGGGAGTAAAACAGGTTAAAGAGCTTTGTAGTAGATATTTTCTCAAATTACCCCAACACCTACGACAACGCTATGAATGTGGGTACGACTCCCGCACTCGCTCGTCTTATTTGAATAGGAGAATCAGTTTTAGGTTATCTTTAGAAAAGCGTTTATGGAATGTCATAAGCCGCATTTATGTAAGACGCGAGTAGCGGTCAAAGTTACTGACAAGAAAGGTAGTGATAACTTAAATATAATAAAGGAACGTCTCAACAACCAAGTGAGCCAACATCGAGGTGCATTGAATTAAGACCTATAAACCCAGAACGACTAGAAATATTTAAACACAAAATATTTGTTCAAGAGGCAGTAGCGAACAATGTACATGATTCAACCTTGAATTTGCAAATCTTAAACATAATTTCTCTCTCTCTCTCTTTATATATATACATATAGAAAGGTGGAAAGAGAGAGATAGATGGAAGACATGATTTGAAATTATATTTGTTTTTAGATATATGTACAGGAGTAATATTCCACGCGTTCTGTCACTGGTCCACGAGAGGAGACGGGAATGGGAGGCATTTTGAGATGTATACATGCTTAAAAGAAGTATTTCTTGACTGTGGAGCTTTATAAAATATATCTTTGGTTCTGTACATACTTCATTAGTGACGAATTTACGCGCCGCTTTTAAAAATACGGGTATAATTCGTTTCACTCAGTTTTCGAGCCTCGAGCTTTCGAGCCTCGAGCTTTCGAGCATTTATTTGCGAGGAAATTGTATGCCCATCAACTGAGAAGGATTCCGGGCCACGGGTGTTTTGCGTATCAGTGTTTAACAACTGACTCCTAAAACTTTGTAAGGGCAGACACGAACGGTGTGTGCCAGAAGGCATCTCTAAAATGAAACTGCTACTAAGGCGATTCACTTTTCGCCTTCGACATGCAGGCAAAAACCGCGTGATTAGAACACTGAGAGCAGCACGAGATCGCTGTGGTGGCTCCCACCCTTCAAAGCTGTTTTGTTGGACGAAAACCATATTGACGTGTTGAATAGAATTCGAAAGACTTAGTTCCCTTAAAATGTACAACAGATGAGCGTACGTCAAACGTCGGACAGTGCTCGGAAACGGGCTATTTTCCCCAATTTCATTAGTCTTCCTTTTTGACGGGGGTCATCGTGGTACACCACCGGATTTAAGTCTCGAGTGACCGCTCTTGAAGAAAGTTCGAAGTGAACAAGAGCACTCAATTCTCAGCTCACGGCTCTGCAGTATTTTGAGTATAGACATGTACGTTTCATGCGATGTTAGTTTGCCTCTTGCACGGTTGGCGATAATATAGTTCTAGATGTGGTTCACACCTACATGCTGCCGCGGAGCACTCGTTTTTTTTCTAAAATCAAGGGTAAAAAAAGGCATTGCTGGAGTGTCTTGCCGCTTTTTTTTTTTTGCGCAGTCAACTGCGCAGATTGCCACCCAAATGAAGGTATCTACAATCTTGAAGATGCGATAAGCAATCTGCTGGGGTAAACACCACTTTCCTGCCTCCTGTATCGCCCGTTTGATTTCCCGCACGTGACGTACAAAGGGAGGGAAAAGTAGAAATGTCTTAATGTCTCCAGTAGAGAGTCGCTTGCTAGCATTTAAGAGAAGGGCGTAATATGAATGTACATCAACCCATGAAATGTTTTGTATTTTACAAAATATTTTGTCTAGCATATAAAAAATAGGTAGTGATTCTGTCTGTCTATTTCCAGCCAAATCGACAACAATCAGAATAGGCCAAGTTTCTTGAAACGACAAAAACGCCTGCGGAGCACAGTGTGCTATTCTTTATACACGTATTTGCGTTACCGTTTTGGAGGTACCGGAATATTTCAATTATATTTTTGTTATTACTAATATAAGCAAAACAGCACGCGCGTTGATCTTATCTTTTTTTTCGGAGCTGTTGAACAATCTAATTATTTTACTGCAGATTAGCAACCATCTTTTCGATTTTAATAGGCCTCGAATTGGTCTTGGTAGAATATTAATTTTGTACAAGATATCCCTTAGTAGTCCTCATGGTGTTGCTTGAAATCAACCTAAAATACGGTCGAGGAAGACGAATGTCGCGATGTGTTGTTAACCACATCCAAGAGGAAGACAGCTGTTCGTAACTCCACATGAAATTTTCTCCAGGGATTTGACACCCCAGCAACTGCTGCGTCATTCTGTCTATATCTTCTTGGCCATCATCCCGAAGTCCAAAAGAAGGTACACGAAGAAATGGACGAAATATTTGGGGATGACTGGGAGAGACCCGTGATCTTGATGACATCAAGTGTCTGAAGTACACCGATCGAGTGTGTCATCAAGGTAGGAGAAGATTCTCGAAGGAAAGAAACGCGCGTTGGGTGTAGGCGGAACGTCCATATTATATTACTTTATGCTATTTCTCTTAACTTTTATATCAGATATGAGATGAGTACGTACTCTTTGAGTTCGTCTTAAAAAGGCTTGTGCGCTGTAAGCAGGACCGCTGCTCAAAATCCAGACTTCATATGCGCTTTCTCGAGCCAGGCGCGCCTGACGATGTGAAGAATGTATTTTTTTAGTCACTTCTGAAACTTGTTAAAAAAAAAAAAAAAGAACGTAACGTCCATTTTTTTTTATCAACTCACAACCGCATTTTTGCAAGTCATGCTCCCGTGCGTCTTCGTGCTTGAGTCCTAGCTTAACCAGGGATAGGTAATTCCTCTTCAAATAGACTTCACATTCTACAAAGAAGCAGTCTTGCGAAGGGGTCTTTTTCAAAAACGTAAACAAAAATAAAAATATATTTTCCAAATCGTTGAGGCAAACAATGCCTGTAACGTTGCTATATCTCAGTCAAATGAGCGCACATTTCACACGATTTCGGCTCAAATAGACGACATAAAACCGAAATTTTACATTTCTAGATTTTTTTTTTGTAGTCAACTATTATATCCAAAAGTATGTAAAAAATAGAAGTTTGCAGAAAATGAGGTTTTTGAGAAAATTGACTTCAAACTTTCAACGTTTGTTATTTCTCACTATATTTACGTAATGGTGGTGGAGCCGATATTCGACAGACCCTATTGGTATCATTATATCTGTAATGGACATGCCTTGGGGTTTCTATAGAGCTCGAAAACAACATTTTACCTTAAGTACAGACCAGGCACGTAGGCAGGGGGGAGGCCCATGGGGCCCGGCCCCCCCCCCCCCCCCCCCCCGAAATCTTCCATTATGCTGGGACCTCCTCTCCCCCTCCCCCTCATACAGCATTTTGTCATGGGCGCCCCCCCCCCCCCCCCCCCCGAAACAAAATCCTGGCTACGTGCCTGGTACAGACAAAGTAAGGACCTGTCAAAGTTGACCGAAAATCGGCCTGAACAACGAGTCTGACGTTTTGTTTAAAAAAAGACTAAAATTTTTAAAACTGTTTGATACATCAAGTATATTTATAGGTACCTATTAAATGAGGAGAAAAAGTTAAGTTGATCTAGAAAAACAGTAGCGGCATCAGGAGGGTGTCAAACACGCGACCTGCGACGGCAGGCAAAAATACTAGTTTCTGCCACAGCGGCTTCTACGCTTCGTAACTCAGAACAAAAATCTGGGCTACATGCGTTTACGCACTCCTTCATTTCAGAAATGCCCCCCAAACTTACATATTTGTTTCGTAAGAATTAAAGATCAGACCCTTTTAGCCTGCCCGATTTGAGATGAAACTACAATATAGTACATATATACATTTTTTAAATGCGTTTTTTTAGTGGTTTTTGATGATGCTCAGGAGCTGCTTATGGGGAACCCTATGCTGAACTTCACGAATGAAAACGTTTATAATATATTTAGTTAATTATTAAGCTTATAAGCGTTTTTTTCTCAATCATTTACGTCCACCGTGGTTGGCAGTTTGTTACCGAAAGATTTTCTTTTTCTTCAATTACCCTATGTATAAGAATTTCGGAAAGTCTCCATGATATACCAGGCATAAACGAACGGTTCAGGATGGCTTAATTTACTGAACGCCACAGCTCTACGTGGGTGGTTTGCATTTCATTGCTTTTCTTCGCTCCAGGGTCTGGTGAATAGTAGCAACAACATCAGCGAGCCATTTCCTTACCACTTCATGGAGCCCCGTAATTGGAACCGGTCTGATAATCAGGTAAAATACTGTTGCAGTAGTATCCCTATTAAGATAAAAATACTGCACTGTAAACTGGCCCTATTGTTATGTTTGTTTCTAAAGTAGGGAATCGGAACAATGAAATATAACGTTATTCATCAAACCTAGGTTTAATTAATATTCCAAGTAGTAAATATATATCATAGCTTAAAAATAAAAG